GGAAAAAATTAAGAAAAAAGAGGAAGTGTTTTTTGAAAAAATAAATAAAAATTGCACTCGAAAAAGCTCGTTCTCGCTTACGGAAAGTAGAAACCGAAGCCGAGCAGTTTTGAGTGAATGGATACTCCGAAATAGAATGAGAAAAATTGAATTTGATTAATTCAACTTATAAGACTTTGGAACAATTAGAAAATTACAAAAATGAAACGATTCAGTTTAAACAGCAAAAGGGCGATTAATCAAGTTCGGCAACGGGTTTTCCAACAAGCCTTACGAGGAGCTCTAGGAATGCTTTGACAGTGAAATTCCTCCCCCGGTCCCCTTCATAAAATTCATAAAAAGGGAGAGATTTATTGATATATTTATTGGATTCCATCAGGACTGACGGGGCTCGAACCCGCAGCTTCCGCCTTGACAGGGCATCGGGTGTTCAGGTAATGTAATACACAAAGAGGAAATATATTTATGCATGCGTGTAAATTGCTTACCCCAAAGGATTGGATTAGGGGTGTTCATAAAAACCCAAAAAACCGAACCAAACCGACCAAAAAAACTGATACTTTTTAGGTTTGGTTTGGTTTGGTTTTGTTTTAATTAAAAAAAAACGAACCAAATCGACTATAAAAGAAGCTATTTAAATTTATTATTACACCTGTATATATGTATATTTTTATATAAAGTTTCTAAAATTTTATGGTACATATTAGTCATTTGTATGTCTAGTTCTTTTCTATTATAATAATCTAATTCTTTGCATTTATATTCTAGTTTGATTGGTAGTTTTCTTTTGCTAAGTACAAGAATTTATTTCATGTTAAAAATAATCGATTTTTAATTCAGCACTTAAATTATTCATCACTATTTGATCCAATTATCATCAATATATCTTGGTAAATGATAGATTTCTCAAAGAGCAATTGATTTAATAGTGTTACGTGGTAAATGTAGTCGCCGGAATATGCGTTTGGTAGTGTATGTCTCATATTTAAGAAAAAACCGATAAATAACCGAAAAAACCGAAAAACTGACAAAAGCCAAATCGATAAAAAACCGACTTAATTGGTTTGGTTTGGTTCCAATATTTGAAAAATCGACTTACTTGGTTCGGTTTTTTTTTAGAGAAAAACCGACCCAAACTGAACCATGAACACCCCTAGATTGGATATCTTGGTAGTTCTGTTAGGTATGTGTTTAGACATAGAATGTGAAATGTTTTGGTAGATTTACCATTTCCGTCAATTTAATACATGATTACCATGGTGAAAAATCTTCATTTCCGTCAATTTAATACATGATTACCATGGTGAAAAATCTTCATTTTTGTTTTAAATCTTTGTTGGTGCAGTGATTTGGTCACACTTTTGGGTGGTGCTGTAGCTGGAATCCATTCCATGACAGATGAGCACTTTGGCATAAGTGTAGTTGAATACATGGCTGCTGGCGCGATACCAATTGGTTAGTGTTGTTATGTGGTTTCTCTCTTGTTCTGTATTTGAGTATATGACTTATTTAGTTGACTTCAAGTTTGTCGGTTTCGTTCAGCACATAATTCAGCTGGCCCAAGGATGGATATTGTGTTACCAGAAGATTCGAAGCAGACTGGGTTCCTTGCCCAGAGCGTAGAGGAATATGCTGAAGCCATTATTGAAGTCATTAAGATGCCAGAGAATGAGAGGCTGGAGATAGCTGCTGCTGCGAGGAAGCGAGCCTCCATGTTCTCAGAGCAAAGGTTTTATGAAGATTTTAAGGCTGCTGTGCGACCAATCTTTTGTGATGGTACCAAATGATTACAAAATCTTTGTTTCCATAAATACAAGAGATGAATTTTGTTGCAACATACTTAAACTTTGTCCTATCTTGTCTTTTTCTGGTTTTCCTTTTTCTTTATAAATTTTACTTTAGATTGTATTGATACTTTGTCAGTAACTTAGCCTTGAAGTTACTAATTACAGGAAAAAAGTCTGCCTCTCATTTGGCAGTTAGAATAAAAGAGATGGTCCTCCTTTCTTTAGGTTTTGCTAAAGTAGATAGTCATATATACTGGCACGGCGGGGCGTTACAGATGAAGGGAATAATATTTATGGGTCTAATGTCTGTCTGGTGAAAAAAATTCAATTCTATCTTTAATTCATGTTGAATTTTGTGCAGCTACGTATTTTCTTAGGAGCTGTAAATTTTTCAATCACTTCTGCTGTGATGTTCGTGCATTAAGCATATCCGATAATTCATTTTCATTTTTATTTTTATTTATTGTTGGGAAGGTGGGAAGGAGGGGGGATTTATTTATAAAAAGAAAGAATGATAAGTTTCTGGAAGAATTTGGTCTAACATGTTTTTCTTGGACAGTTTCCTTGGCAATAACTGGAGTTACTGGACAATAATAAAGATGGGCGTTGCCCAAAAAATGGATTATACATACTTCTCATATAGTTTTTCAGTGAATAAATGAAATTAACGGTGGAAATTATATATGTCTGACAAGGAAAAAAGTTTATCATAGTGAATAAATAAAAGCTTCTAACACTTCTAAATTTAATTTTCATTTACATGTAAAATTTTAAGTTTAATATCTTAATTTCCATATGCACTTCTAGAAATGACTTTCTTTTCTGAGACCAAAAATAAAAAAGGAAAACAGTAGCTTATGTATTTGTTGGTTGGTTTTATATTTATGAGAAACAGTAAGATCATAGAAATTCAGATCCCATTAGGAAAAATATATTGGAGGAAAATATCGGGGCCCCCATGTGCACCATTCATTTTGCAATTGAAGAAGAAGCAGTGTTCCAAGTGCACCAGTGCTGATTACACTGTTCCTCAGCGACCGTTAGTTTCTGCAGTCTTCACTGTCCAGCACTTTTAATGGTAGGGTCTTCAACTCCTCATTTGAGGAACCAGAATAAGGGAGGAAACAGTAGCTGTTTCCAAGTCTTTGGGGACTTTCAGCAACAGTATGTTTCTTTCTTTCCCTCTCTTTTCTTGTATAACCAATTCTTGCTTTACACTTTTAATATCCCATTGTTGATATAATTCTAGACATGGTAGAAATTTACATGCTGCTATACACCAAAAGATTGCTCAATTTTGTCCTCCGTGAGGCATTGTGGTCTAAACTGGTAGTTTACTACTCTCTCTCTCACACACACACAAATAAATACAATGGAGCTCCGACTGGATACTCTTTACACATTGAAAATGTGTAGAGGAAAGCCCAAACTTTAGTTCATCTCCCACTTATCTCTAGTTCTAGATTTGTGGCAAGCACTCAATTTCTCTTGGATCGCAGATAAAAGGGGTTGTAGTTGGACGGGCTTAATTTTGAAGCGCTCTTCAATTCCTTCCACTCCTGTCATAGGAAGTAAATTGCCACCGGAAGAGTACCTCAGGATACAGTTGCGCAGTTCTCTCCGTTTTGTACTCGAATCAACCAATTGAGTTCTCCGGCCAAAGGCAAATATCTCTATGTACTAGCCTCTGTTGTAAGAGATGCTACTAGATGGGTACATTTTCAGGGTGTTTGATACACAAACAACTTTCAGTGTCCACAATTTTCAACTTTTGAGTAATGCTTAAGTCTATCTAGAATAGCAAACCAAAGAATGAATCCATCCTTGAAATACGTAATGCGAAACAAAGCACTGTAGTCCAAGTGAGTGAGTATATATATATGTATATATATATATATATATATATATATATATATATATATATATATATATATATATATATATATATATATATATGGATCGAGTTGCACGCCACAACGAGCCTTATGGCTATATATATGTGGATCGGGTTGCACGCTGCAACAAGCCCTATGGCTATATATATGTGGATCGGGTTGCACGCCGTAACAAGCCCTAATGGCTATATGTATGTGGATTTGGTTGCACGCCGCAACAAGCCTTATGGCTATATACAGTGCTGAGTGATTGAGTGTGGCGAGCGAGGACTGAGACGGGCAGATTGAGCGCTCTGAGAGTGTGAGTACTTGGGATTTCACTGTGTTGCATCACATACGGTATTCACCTTGGCATGTAGATATAGAGATGTCATACTCTTCTTATCAGTCACACTCGGCCTATTTTATCCGTGCTGAACTTAACTGTTGAACCTAGAAGCATGTCTACTTTTCTGTATTGTTAAACTCTGTATTTTTACTATATTGTTTGAGCTCGTCACTGCTTTCAGACCACAGGTTAGACTTGTTACTTATTGAGTTGGTTGTACTCACGCTACACCCTGCACTTCGTGTGCAGATCCAGGTTTTTCCGGGCACGGAGGTTTGCTCTCCTTCTCCATTGAAGAAGCATTATATTTGCTTGCAGGTGTACCAGCGTCAGATGTCAAAGGAGGGTCTTCAGAAAGTTATTCAACAGGAACAAATAGATTCTGATATCCAGGTACTGCTTTGGAGTCTCTTATCTTTTCTTACTCTTCTGCTGAAATGTGGTACCAATACGTGATTGCAGGGAAACTTTCTCTCGGCAGAAGACCTGCGGGACCTGTTCACATTTCATGATAGTGTGAGGTATGTTCCCGTGCGAAATTGCATTAGCTAGTGCATTAGAAGTCTCCAATACCTGCATGGCTCAAGTATTTTTATCAGTTGTTACAGTGAAGTTGGGCATTCCATAGCGTGGAAGTGTAGAGGACTCCAACCCCCCCCCCCCTCTTCTGCTTTAGCATCTGAGACATACCAAAAGGCGTATGTAATGGGATTCAAAGGTAGATCGCGGATTTAAAGGCAGTGGGTACAACTCTTTGCACGTGTGTGTGTGTGTGTATGTATACACATCATAATTATTTAGTTTGAGTTTGCGGCAGTATGTGCAACTACTGCTTATATGCAGGATCTGTCTCTGAGAATTACACACTATCACCCGATTTCGTGTTCTGTATCTTCAAATGAGGAAAAAACATCAGAACACATTGAAGTATGGTTAAGAATTCATCTTTTTCTCTGATCTGTTTCCTTTAGATAAGAAGAAAGATTGTCCACTATATCGGTGGGGTTAACTTTATAGGAGAAATTACTTATGGCAGCTCAACATTGTGTAGTTCTCATGTTCCTTCATGTTGGAGCGATGATTATTTAAGTAGATTCAGACATTTTATTATGACCGATTGTAATCTCATCTTTACGCTCTTCTGTAACTTCATATCTCGTATAACCAAATGCATATTGTCTTTCATATTTATTTCAACTGCTGTCAATACAGGTCTGAGATTCATGAAAAAATGAGCTGCAACCGCTGCCAACCAGATGCAGTGATGCCAGATGACAACCCAATAGCTGATTTCAACACTCAGGGTCTTCAGCCCGACCAAGAGGATATTGGGGGATTTGCAGGTGTAGCTGGTTGTCTGCATACATTACGAAGCTCGGAGAAACAGGTTGGTTTATATTTCTGTAGCCCTAGTTTCAGTTCTGTAATTTGGTTCTCATGCTAACAAACATCCTTTTCCAGATTGGAGCTCCAAAGGAAGAGGACACAGCCAGTTGGGGTCATCATCTTTCCCCAAAATCTGTGCCAGATGTAATTTTCCAGTCTGCAGCAGGAGACGAGGTAAGCAGAGAGGTCAAATTGCTATTACATTGAACTCAGACCACAACCTCCTCTCCTCCCACGCCCTGTAACAACAAACCCAGTGTATTCCCACAAGTGGGGTCTGGGGAGGGTGGGATGTACGCAACCTTACCTCTACCCTGGAAAGGCAGAGAGGCTTGTTTCCAATAGACCCTCGGCTGGAAAAAAAAAGAGAAGGAGCACAACGACAAGTAGGAACAACTCAAGATAATAAGAAAACTGAGTCAAAGAAAGCAATCAAACAATAGGTAGTAATAGCAATTTGAGAATAAAACGAACACAAAATATTAAGAACGCTGACGCAAAGATAGCAATCAAACAGTGGGTAGCAATATCAATCTAAGAATAAAACAAAAGCATACAAACACTAATGCTACCGGACGAAGAAAGAAAAAGAGACACGCTCGAGTAACTACTAACCTTCTATCACAATCCTCGACCTCCACATCCTCCTATCAAGGGGTCATGTCCTCAGTAAGCTCCAAATGCACTATGTTCTGCCTCATCACGTCTCCTCAATACTTCTTTGGCTTATCTCTACCCCTCCCCGTACCCACCAAGGGCAACCTCTCACACCTCCTAATTGGGGCATCTATATTTCTCCTCTTAACATGCCCCAACCACCTCAGCCTCGCCTTCCGCATCTTATCCTCCACGGGAGCAACTCCCACCTTATCTTGAATGACTTCATTCCTAATCTTATGTAACCTAGTGTGCCCACACATCCATCTCAACATCCTCATTTCAGCAGCTTTCAACTTCTGGACATGGGAGTTTTGACTGGCCAACACTCTGCCACATACAACATAGACGGTCTAACCACCACTTTGTAGAACTTACCTTTAATAAGTTATGGGTAACAAAAAAGTAAATGAAGAAATAAAAAAGGAATGAATAGAGAGTCAAACTTTTGAGTTCTATTTAATGTACTAAAAGATCTTCAAAAATCTACTCACGTGGCATACTCCAATAAATGTTGAGACAGATTATTATGACCAATGGAGTATGGGCAAATCTAGTATTGGTTTATGGATGAATACCAAACAAAACCGTAAAAGTACCGCTTGAATTTTACAAGTTGTTTAAACTTTGGAACCAAAATTAAGACGGTGTACAGGGTTAAGGAGTGAAGTAACATTTTAAATTCTAGTCTCTGTGTGTGTATTAAAATCTATATTTCTGATTAAATTATGGTTTAAAGTATAGTTTTAGCTTCAAATAATTTTAAATGTCTCGCAAAACTCATTAAATCATTTGGTCTTACACTACAGATACAGTTTATTACGGTCCAATTTACAACATGAACTACACGTTTCTAGGAATTCTACTACTACAAAATTTTGTGAATTGCATGTCTAGGAGATCCTGTAGCTTGTACTGAGTAGAAACTTTTTGGGCCTGCTTTTCCGTACTCCAAAGTTTTAAGCTAAGAACAATGTGAAAGTTCGTTGTAGGATACTTACTAATGTTACATAATGAAGCCAAAAAAGGAGACGAAGTTAACCCTTCATGTCCCTCGGGGTCTTATTTAATGCTCTTATCTGAAATTGGAATACTCATTTTGTAATATTTGCAGGTTTCTTTTGTTTTCTCTTGCCAAGTGGATGGGAAGCTTGTGCCTGTTGAATCAACACTAAAACCAAAACAGGAGGTGGAAAATAGAGAATTGTCTCATTTCAAAGAAAAACTTTGAAAAAGTGTAATTTTTCATCTCCACGACGAGCACCATCATTACCAACATTGTCATCAAGCAAGCAATCCAGCGAGAAGGAAAATTCAATTCAGAAACTGAATTTGATATCGCAAGCTCAAGCGCTGTCAACATCAGCTCCTAATGAAATTTCTCTGAGTACATTACCTGCATTTTTCAAACCTTTGCAAAAGCCAAGCAAGTTAAATAGACCTTTAGAGGATACTAAAATAAACTTGAAGAACAACTCTTTTGCGAGGATAATTTTCCCAGAAAGAGATTATCTCCCGATTACATAGATGATGATGATTTTGCCTAGATTTTTGTTCCTTTGCATTGTTTCCTTCATATGTTTCACTTTACCTGGCTACAATTTAACAATTTCCGGAGCTATCAAACCAGTCCTATATGTTTCAATTATACCGGGTTCTCAGTAATGAACCTAAGTAGCTTTTTGTAGAGGCATTTGATTGGTGAAATATTTACACTGAAGGCATGGCAAAAAATTTGATGGTATGGACCATTCTTCTGGCTTCAATTAAGGAACATTCACATTAGTTGATTCTTATGTTTTGCAGATATTTCTTATTTTCTCCCATTGTGGCATGCTGGAAGTAGACTTCTTGATATGTAGGTTTTATCTTCATATATATACAATGGACAGACCAAAGTTGAACTTCTATTTGGTTTTTAATCGTATTTGTCCATTTTGATGGTTTGGCCCATTCTTCTGGCCTCAATTCAGGGAACATTGCCAATAAGGATTGGCATTAGTCAATTATTATCTTCTGCAGATATTTCTTGTTATCTCCCATTGTGGGATGTCGGAAAGAGACTTTTTGATATGCTCTCAGTAATTGATTTCACCACTTTCTTGATGAGGTTTGTCCATTCGAGTCTTTCAAATAAAATAGGTGAGCATTGACAGTACATCTCTTCCCTACCCCCCCCCCCCCAACAAAAGTAGATACTCCCTCCCTTTCAATTTATGATAACCCATTTGACTGGGCACGGCGTTTAAGAAAAGAGAGAAGATTTTTGAACTTGTGGTGTAAAATGAGGCGCACATATTTTGTGCGGCTATAAATTATTGCATAAAAGGTAAATTATTTTCAAATAAGGAAATTGGTCATTCTTTTTGGCACGGACTAAAAAGGAATTATATTCACATAAATTGAAACGGAGGGAGTATTATATTATTGCAACGAACAAACAAATTGGGCAAAGGTGCCCATAGCATCATGTGCAATCCAACTAGGGTAATAGTGCTCCCAAGATACTTCTTTCAAAAAAGTAATAGAAAACATAGCTAGTTGTGTGCTAGTAATTTTGATTTCTAGTAATATAAACAAAGTCTACATTATTAAACAAAGTCGATAACTTGCACGTATTCACAAGCTACTTCTATCTCCCATGAGGTAGTGACTTTTTTTTTTGGATCATATCATTAATACTATTTGCTTTTGATAAAAGCTGCACTTTGTTTCAACCATTTCTGGTTGCACTTTCAATAGCCATTCTTATAGCAAGCACTTTAGTAGTCATAACTTTTCCCAGAAACTGAATTGCGACCCAACGGCATGAACCAGTTTTCCAAGGCTATCCAAAGCCGCAACACAAACCATCATACTTTTGGATCATATTTATCCTCCATCCCTTACGTAGTTTGGTCTTAAAAAGACACCTTGCTTACCCTGATTGGATAAAATAGACTTGCTCCAGTTTAATCAAACCCACGCGGCCCATCTATTTCTCCCAAATCAAATTGAAGCACACACAATATATTTCTCTTTAAATCTCCCTGAAGACCCAAACAAATATAAATGATTAATTGGAGTGATATGTTTCACATCTAATATATTTGATATTGCTTAAACTTTAAAGTTTTCCTAAACTAAATGTAGATAGCTTTTCCCTAAAAAGAGCTACGATTCAGATATTTAAGTATACATATATTTATGTTCAAGCTTTCTGCATGTTAGAAATATCTAGTTTAGCTAACTTTATTTGTGAAGGTAAGCCCTTAATTAAGTAGTGCATCTTTCTATAGCTTGCGCACGGGGCATTTTGAAAATTTTAGTCGCCATTGACACAACCACAGTGTACAAGGCGATGTGCACATGGGATCACATGATAGATAGAATCTTGTAGCCTATGGGGAACAAGAGTACTAACACAAGAGTTACCCAGGGTTTAGGAGTGGGTTCTCTAGCTGCCTTGTATTGACTGCCTGTGTTATGATCTTTCTTTCTTTGGGCGCGGTATTGATTTATTATTTTTGTTTCATGATATAAATGTATATTATTGCAATAATAGAAAAAACAGTGTTTCATTTTATTTGAACACAATCCAGATCTCATGCATCCCAGGGCGATTTGTTACAATTATTCAACTACATCCGCCACCCCCAAATAAGAAAATTTCTTTGTTATTCAATTGATAAATATCACTGTTTAGAGGGTTTTAAAAGTTACATTAATGATATACATAGAAGATTTTCAATCTTTGATTATTTTATAATGGAGTGTTGTCCAGCATATTTTTCTAATTGGAAACGCAATCAAAAGACAGAATATTATGTACTTTTGCGGGTGATATTTACCAAAAGTTTAAGATGTAAAAATAGGGGGCTTGTGTTTTTTTTTTTGGACGGATTAGGATAAATGAGGGAGACTTGCCAATCAGCGCCAACCGCGTGTCTAGGCCGAGGAAGTTGTTAGTACGGTTCGAGTGGGTTTTAATCGAAATAGGCAGATCTTTTTTTTATCCAAACATGACTAGCCATGTATCTTATTTAAGATAGGAAAAGCTATTTAATAGGCATGAGGCAAATATGATCCAAAAGTATGACGTGTTATTATACTGTGTTCAAAATACAGAATCAAAAACATAAACTATAAAATAATATGAACAAAATAATCCATCAAAATAGAAACGTGAAATTATTCCGTGCCAACAAATTTCTTGTGTGTCATTAAAGAATTTAATCTTCTTACTATTGCCCAAGGTATTTGGACTAATTCCTTCAAGAATAGAACGAAAAACTATTCTATAATAGTGACAATGCAAATTACAGAACTTCGACAAACTCAAATGGCGTATAAAATCACATACTAGACACTTACATTTTGTTTTTAAAAATAATTCACAAATACATAAATGAGAAGGGAGATTTTTCACATTTTTGGTGGTGAAAAATGAGGCCAAACCTTTAAATTTATAGCCAACAAGTTGGAGTTGAAAGGATATGAAGATACTGTCACGACCAAAAACTCTACCAAAGGTCGTGATGGCATCTAATCTCCAAGACTAGGTAAACCAATCACACAATAATATAAAAATAGCGAAACAAGATATAACAAGTCCGAATTTAACATAATCAGCGGAATAAAAATCCAACAAATCCAATATAGAGGTACATAAGTCAAACTTCCAAAATCAGGTAGTATAGATTCATGAGCTCTAAACTGAATACATAACGAGTCTCAACAGTATAATATTGTTTGAAAGTAATACAACAGTATGAAATAAGAAAAGGGGACTCCAAGGGTCTGCGGCATCCATGCAACACTACCTTGAATCCTCTCGAACAATCAAAGCTCACTCCCGAGATCTGCTGCTACCAATACCCGAATCTGCATAAAATATGCAGAAGTGTAATATGAGTATGGGACATAATGTACTCAGTAAGTATCAACACTAACCTTAGTGAAATCGTGACGAGGTTCAAATCATGTGACACTTACTAGTCAAAAACCTTGCAATGTATAAAATAACTGGCAACAAGATTATAATGAGATGAAGTACCATCAACTCAACAAAACAAAAGTTATCAGCTCATCACAAGTAGATCAATTTTTGACAAAAGAATTATCAGTCAATAATAGAGGCATATAGTAACATGTTAAAGGCAACGTAAAATCATGTAAAATGCATGACAAAGTATAAAGAATTCACTTGCATGATCAAGAATGCCACCTTTATACTCCTGAAATGATCCAAACAGTCATTTTGCATATTTTAGCCTCGTTCCCCTATTTGACATTCTCCGTATCTATATTTGATATTTGGTGATTTTCGGGGATGATTGGGATTTGTTTCGGGAAGATTTTGGAGTAAATTGAGACACAAAGTCTCATTTTGGAAGCTTAAGTTGTAAAAGTTGACTAAGGTTTGACTTTTGTGTAAACGACCTCAGATTCATATTTGATGGTTCCGGTAGGTTCTTATAGTGATTTTGGACTTAGGCGTATGCCCGGAATTGGATTTGGAGGTTCCTATATTGATTTGGCTCTAAATATCAAAAGTTAGAAAGCTGAAGGTTTGAAAAGTAGTTTGCCCGAAATTGTCTAGCTGGCTGAACAACTTTGTCGGTTCTTGTGCCCACCTAGCGATGGTTAATTTTTCATGGACCCAATCTCATATTGAGAAGTTGTGGGGAATACCAGCTCGAATTAGGCGCGTGTATTCTTAACGCTTTTAGTGTTAATATAACCCTTGTTCCTTTTCCTGACGCCTAAAGTTTTTATGTTTTCCCTCTTTACTGTAGATTTGATTAAATTAATAAGTTGTGGTTAATAATTTTATTATTGTGTTGTTCTTCATTTTTGCATTAATGAAGTATGTGACGAAAGTAGGACTGAGTGTAACTTTCAGACAAATTTCTCCTCTCAATCCTTATTTGGACTTTCATGACTCGTGATTTTGTTGAAAATTGAGGGAAATGACATTACTGTATTCCTTTTTTAGAAGGTCTTATCAATTCTTCTGTTGAGTCCGGGATGGATGGTAGGCAATTGCATATTTGCATGGCAAATATAAACAAAAAACTTGACACTGCTCTTGACAGGCACCTCCGCTGGAAAAGTCAATGAAGTCTCTGAAGATAGTATTTGTGGCTCAGTTCCATCCAGAGAAGGTAGGCATTTTTGTGTGGTCCTTGTAGAAATCAAGGTATCCATACTTTTGCAAGTGTTTCAAGGTTAAACCACCTCTGTAAAGACAACCAACCACTTCCACTCCAAATCAACATCTAAAAATCAAAATTTAAAATGTTAGTGCTTCATATAATAAAAAGTGGTTGAGGAGGTGATGGATGATGAAAGAGGAAATAGCAGAGAAAGAAATAAAAGAATAGTGAAAGAAAAATGAAGGGAGGTACTGGGGAGAAGGTGTTGTGAAGCGTGGAGATAAGAAAATGGGTGAATAGTTCTCTTGCATGGCGAAGAAAACAAGAAGAGAGAAAAAAAAAGAAAAGGAAAATAAAAATTGAAAACAATAATTAAATAATGGTCAAATACGTTATTTTGGGCTTCTTACACGCCTGATTTTCGTGCTAACACGACAGATGCCACGTGGGTTCAAAAGGGGTTATTTGTTTCACTTTAAACAAATATAAGGGAGTCATAGGACCCCTACAAAATAGAAGGGTGTATCTGGTAAAGTGGGACAATCCCAAGGGGGTAATTATATATTATCCCTAAAATTAAAATGATAAACTGTGATGTTTTTATCCCAAAATAATCACAAATTTCCTAAAATGGAAAACTACAACGGCTACAACTACTTGAACTTCAAAAATTGACCTACAAATATGATTCCCGTCTATTTATAGTGGTCCAAAATTCACTGACAAAAATGACCCTCGGGAGGTTCTGCGGGCGCACAATGCTTGATTCTGCAGCCGCACATTTTGGTCTGCGGCCGCACAATTCTTGTGCGATCCGCACTTCAGGCAAGGCTTCAATCTTGGTCATTTGCACACTCTCTGAACTTTTTGAATTCTTGTCAGTGTGGATTATGTTCTGCGGCCGCACAATTCATGTGCGGTCCGCACTTTTGCTTAAAGTACTGCCGGGCTACTTCACCATTTCTGCGACCGCGGAGGAAATTCTGCGCTCCAAACTTGCTTCTGTGGCCGCAGAAATACCTCTGCGGGCCGCACTTCTTGTGTGCTGCGCCCCTTCTTTCCTTGTGAGTCGAAACACTCCTTTTTGATTTGACTTTTTCATAAGAGCCCAAATTTCCAATATTCCTGCAATTTGCACACTTTCATTAGTTTTGAAAACATAAATCAATACTTTCAGACTAAAACAAAAGTAAAAAGATACTAATAAGTGGTCAAAATCAAACTTATCTCATTGGAACCAACTTTTGACTTCTTTTTCTTTCTTTCACGGAGAAGAGATCAAAGTATGGGATACTTGTGTAATAGTAATAAGTATTAAATATATAAATAAAGTTTACTCTAAATATTTTGGAATTGGCAGAAAGAAAAGAATCATGGTTTCTTTTGGAATTGGCAGAAAATTTAAAGTTTTTTTACAATAAGTATTAAATGGCAGGTTTGAAATTTTTACCTTTAAAAAAAAAAAATTAAACTTTTGAAATGAGCAGAAATTAACTGCCATTGAAGTTCCGATTCTATTTCAAAAGAAAAAAAATTCGAAATAACTATCAATATTAAATTTTTTATATTTTTTAAAATTAGATGTGAAACTCCAATAAAGTTGGAGAATTGTCCAAAAAATTTTCACATGTCAATTTAATGTGATGCCACTTGTCATCTTAACCTTTCTTTGCTTCTCCTATTATGTATTAAATAAAAGATTCGACATATATTGCACCGATTCTAATACTCCAATTGAATTAATGCCCCAAATTCGGAATTAAGAACCCATTTGGACTTAAGATTTTTTTTACTTTTTTTTTTTTTTTTAAAAAAACTTAATTTTTTTTCGAAATTAGTGTTTGGCCATAAAATTTCTTATCTTCACTTGTAGATGAATTTTGGAATTTTTTGAAAATTTGAAAAATTCCAAAAAGCTGTTTTTCAAAATTTTCAGTCAGATCATTCACAAAACTTCAAAAACAACCCAAAATTATATTCATGTCCAAACACAACTCTAATTTTCAAATATCATTTTCATCTGAAAAAATATTTCACTTTTTTTTTTAATTCTTATGTTCAAACTTCCACTAATAGCCTGTTTGGCCAAATTGAGGTGTTTGGCCAAGCTTTTGGAAGGAAAAAAAGTGCTTTTGAGGAGAAGCAGAAAAAAGTAGCTTCTCTCCAAAAACACTTTTTTGAGAAGCACTTTTGAGAAAAATAAACTTAGAAGCAGTTTTTTGAAGCTTGGCCAAACACTAATTGCTGCTCAGAAGTGCTTTTCAAACTAATTAGTCAAACATAAACTGCTTCTTACCAAAAGTAATTTTGACAAAAGCACTTTTGAAAAAAAGCACTTCTTAAAATAAGCTAATTTTTGCAGATTGGCCAAACGGACTATAAGTTTGCAATTACTGGAAACTTGTTAGGTACGTTTCTCTCCCAATCTCTTCGACCTACCGCCAAAATCGAAAGATTCAAATGCTTTAAGCAGAGAGCAGCTTCTGAAAGAGTAAAGACGAGTAATGGAGGCCGAGGAGGAGGAGGTTCTTTCGTCTTCAGAACGTGATGATTCGAGCGAGGAATTCCTTTGCGAGCCCGATGATGACAAGGATTTCGAATCTAATAGCGGCGATGATGACCAGAATGTAGAATCTCACGCGGGTACCAGTTCGCCTGATGAAGATCGAAAATCGCAAAATGTTGATGCTCTTGTGAGGTAGAGTCAATTATTCATTTATTCTTTGCTTGCAAAGACCTAGCATATAAGTAGTAGGTGGATAAAACTGCTCTTCGAGTATGGTGGAGACCTTTGGTTAAATTAGGGTTTCGCAGTTATTCATATGTTATTGTGACAGAAGCTGTTTATTTTGTCAATCGCACTGGTTTATGTCAGCGAGGAGTTCTTAGAGTAGCAGTTAAATATGGATTAACTATGCGTAAATCCCAAACTAGTTAGGGACGGTTATATGAATCTTCTACTTCCGTTCTGCTGAGCTTGGCCAAGTGCTCCCTCTATCCCAATTTATGTGATGATATTTTCTTTTTAGTCTGTCCCAAAAAGAATGACACGTTTCTATATTTAGAAGTAATGTAGCATTAAACTTCCTATTTTTTCCGCAATTAGATGATTTTTAGCCACACAAGTATTTATGGCTTGTTTTCAACCACAAAATTTCAAAAGTTTTATGTCTTTCTTAAACTCGGTCAAAAACTATCTTATAAATTGGGACGGAGGAAGTACTAAATAAATTTGTCTTTTAGGCAAATTAGGGGGAACTCTAACAGCAGCTCTATACAATTTGAAGTTTGTACCAATGTTCTGATTCAAGACTTTCCTGCAGAGTTATTAGAATGCACATTTCACTTTTTGTGCAAAATGAATTAATACTTTTTGAATTCTGATAGATCACTAATGCTGAAGGGAAACTATTTAGGAATCTTATAACATGGATCTAAGATATCCTGATTGTGATGAAATCAGGGGTAACCTTATTGTGAAAAGACAATCCCTACTTCCACGAGTCTATTCAGTGACAGATGCAGCAGCCAATCTCCGAAAGCCATTCAAACCTCCAAGCTCCAATGGTTACAGTAGTACCAATGAGCATCTATCCCGTCGTCTTTGTGCTCGTAAAAGGTTTGTGCCATGGGGGTCAACAAGGCCAGTGTTGCTTGCAATTACAAACAGGCTGCACGCTCCAGAAGCTGCCGAGATAGATGTGGTGGAAGAAAATGTAGAACTGCCACCTGGTGTTGAACCTTTGGTGTTGTGGCAGCCTGAAGAAATTGTGGAGGAAGGCTGTAATTTAGTACCTATAATTGTGGATCCATTGCTTGTTAAGTTCCTTCGTCCTCATCAAAGGTACTTCATGATATAGGGGGTATTTGATTATTTGCATGTGATATTTAATGGTGCAATGTTGAATTAAGTGCATGAATGAAAGGGCAATGTTAAAAGCTATGGACTTGAATGTATCTTAGTATGATGCCCTCAAAAGATTCCTCATGTTGTCTGATTAGGTTACTTTGTGCCATTTAGTTCATGATATTCATGTTGAATTTGCAACATTATGCTGATGATATGTATCAGTAAGTTGATAAAATGTTCGCTCCTTGTCATAACTCCAAAAAGAATATTTATATTATTTGCATAACTTCAACCTTCTACTTAATGTTTAACACCATTGTAGTATCCAGTCTCTTTTAAATGCATTTCAAACGCCCTAAGCAACACCGAGAAACTCTTAAATTTGACTTTTTTTAGCATGCATGCAGCATCTAAGTCATTTAAAGACGATAGTTGATTTTACTTGCAGGGAAGGGGTCCAGTTCATGTTTGACTGTGTCTCGGGTGCACTTAGTACCTTCAACATTAATGGGTGCATTTTAGCTGATGATATGGGGTAAATTGTTTCTGATTATTCTCCCGTACTTCGTGCCTCTACGTTGAGCGGGCTTAGGTATTTTGTTTTGGCTTATTGGCTGCTCTTTGTGTTATTGTGCAGTTTAGGGAAGACTCTACAATCAATCACTCTACTTTACACTCTTCTTCGCCAGGGATTTGATGGAAAACCAATGGTCAGGAAGGCAATAGTCGTGACCCCTACCAGTCTCGTTAGTAATTGGGAGGCCGAAATCAATAAGTGGGTTGGAGAAAGAGTTAAGCTTGTTGCTTTATGTGAAAGCACCAGAGATGATGTTGTGTCTGGCATAGAAAGTTTTATTAATCCACGTAGTAATTTACAGGTAAATTTTTCTGACCTATCCAATTTGCAATTATGGTTAAGGGTTATCAATTCATATAATGTTCTCGCAGGTCTTAATTGTTTCCTACGAGACATTTCGAATGCATTCTTCAAAATTTAGTAATTCTGGATCATGTGACCTTCTCATATGTGATGAGGCTCACAGACTGAAAAATGATCAAACGCTGACTAATCGAGTAAGACATGTTTACTTATTCTGATGACCTAGATTTCCTTTTGTGGATGAATTAGAATCTTTGTTGAGCCCGATTAAAACTTGTGATTAGGCATTGGCTGCTTTAACTTGCAAGCGCCGGGTTCTGCTATCAGGGACACCAATGCAAGTGAGATCCTATCAGACTTTTCCTTTAATATCTGTTATTAACATAATCTGTTTTTGCTGTTTGATGCATGATCACGCCCAACTATGCCTTATAAAAAGGACTCTGCGGACGTTGCAAATATAACCCGAGTATTACGCCCAGGGTCGAATCCACAGAGAGTTAACCTATCAACCACTATCTTCAGACCCACTAATTGTTCAGAACCAGCTTCCCAAATATTCAAATCTCAGTTGAATGTTCTTTAACAACTACGCTTGCAAGTAACTAAATAGCTGTAAACTAAACTAATAAGGTTGTAAACAATTATGATAAAAAGCTAAGGCAATGATTTCCCCTATTGATGGAATCCCTTCTGTTTATGCTCATACAAATTTACCAACACATCTCTATCAATCATGAACGCTAATCTTACCGTAAATCTCTCCGAGTAATCACAGTAATTTACTATTGCACTCTCCCGAGATACACTAGCTTACCTTATTTAGCACGATTCACTTTAGATTACACCCAAGGCTTCGTTATCCCTAATCCCGCCTTTAAACCCGCAATTATAGATTCCTCTAATAATCTAGGAGTGGTGTTGTTCAACAATACCCTAAATATGCACTCTTTTCCAAGTTATGCACACTAAATAGGCACAGCTAATTGAGGATCCTGTCAATTAACTACAACAAACACGAAGTTGAACAAATAGAGATTAAACTAGCAATTTGTATTCACATAAACAAGAAGTTCATCACCCAATAGGTTCCATCAAAACCTTAGACAAGGAATTTAGCTACTCATGGCTATGGGAAAATAAACTAAGATAGAATTCATCATAAAAATCAAAAGTAAAGAAGAAAGATGTTTGGAGTATTCTTTCACAATGGTTTTCCTTGCTAAGAAACCCTAAAAATCAATACATCCTCTCTTGGGCGAAGTCTAATGTTTTAAATAGGGTTTAGGTCTAAAAATCCCGTATTTGACACTTTGACCCCTGAACTTTTCTGCGCCTGCCGCGGTTCTGCCGCGGTCGCGGTAGAACCGCGGCCAATCACCCTCTCTGAATCTCTAAAGTTCTGAAGCTGCCTTCCACCGCGGTTCTGCCGCGGTCGCGGTAGAACCGCGGCCAAACCATTTTTCTGAATCCTAAGAGCTGGCAGGGCGTAGCTTCATTGGGAATTTACACATTTGGCCTCTTTTCTCCAATTTTGACTCCAAAACTGCTCCTTAGCCTTCCTTATACATATATCACCTGCAAATCATGAAAAACACTAATAAGAGCATTTTGTTATCACTTTTAGCATTAAAACTACACAAGAAGGTGATTATTTAAGGTGTGATTATAGTCAAATTCACCTATTATCAATGCATTTTTCTTTCATGCAGAATGATCTAGAAGAGTTTTATGCTATGGTTAATTTCACCAATCCTGGTATCTTGGGCGATGCTGCACACTTTCGGCGTTATTATGAGGTGAGCTTACTACTTGAATACACAGAAAGTTAACGTGAATTCTAGTGTCCTTATTCTTTTCCCACAACTTTGTGGGGTTAAGGAACAACATAAGCTTTTTATCATATCAGCAGTGAATGCACACTCCATCTTATCTTTTATTCTCTTGGTAAGGACAAATAAAATTTTCGGGGTAAGGAGAAATATATTGGTTGTTACTCTTTCTTTCAGTATATAAGTATATAATCTAATTGTGTTTTTTATCCAACTGTTTGTAGGCACCAATAATTTGTGGTAGGGAACCCACTGCTGTCGAGGAAGAGAAGAAATTAGGATCTGACCGCTCTGCTGAACTAAGTTCAAAAGTTAATCAGGCAAGTTTTTCACTGAATAGCATGCGGTGTCAGAATTTTGACTAGTCTATTCGCTGCTTAGCAATTCTACACCCAAAAATCCAGTGTAGAAGATAGATATATGATTGAAATATCACTCTATGGACGCAGAAGGCTTGAAACCAGTCCATAATCTTTTTGTTTTCCTTTTGGAAGCAAAAGATCAAATCATTAAATTCGGGAAAATCGAAAATATTCAGAAATGAAATATAATCAGACATGACAGAAATTAATTAGTAAAAGTTAGTGCAAATTGGATTTGACTAGGAAATCACACTCCTTGCAGAATTTGATGCCTGTCTCTTGACTAAAGCAACATGTTAGGGACCTAAAATCTGGTAAATGCTCACATGTACTATTTTTTTTTCCTGATGAAGTAAGGTGTTATATCACTGGAATCAAGAAGAGGCAAAAGAGTACAAAAGAAGTTTGGTTAGCTCCTATTACAAGAATTCATATATCTAGAACAGGGAGTTAACCAAGACCAAAAAGTTGGTTTGTATGCCAAAGTAAGAGAACTAGTGAAATCTAGAAGGGGGATACCATCATTTACAGGGCTTAAGTTGCTCCAACTGAAAAGATTCATCATTTACCTAGATTTCAAGGAACAGTTAGGAGTTGAAATGACATCAAAGCATATGTGATTTCTTTCTGTCCAAATACACCATAAAATACATGTGAGGGTCACCTACCAGATTTTCTTGATGGTTCTGTCATCATTCCAAAAGCTCCAACTTTCAAATTTTTCCTTTATATCTATGGAATTGTTCAACTAATGCCAAAAACTGACAGGAACATGTGCCATAGATCAGCAGCCACTGTACAATGCAAAAATAGGTGGTTGATTGATTCTGAATTGTCTTGGCACATATAGCATCTATTCACCAGCTGAAAGTTTGTTACGTTCCCCTGCTAGTTCGGTTCTAGTAATGGGGCGATGCGGACCAAATCAGAGTTAATATGGAGTAAATTAGGAGTTTGGGAAGAGGTTTTCTTTTTGCGACCTATGGTGCTGGATCGTTAAGAAAGAACCTGCAATCTCTTGAGTTAAAGTACTCCAAGTCTGGAATAATTTTCTATCTACCTTTCACTGAATTCAAATAACTTTAAAAAAAAACACTGATGGATTAACCACCCACCTAAAAATTGGGAAATAACTTCCTAACACAACTGGAATGAGAAAGTGGCTTACTACTGATAACCGCTACTACTAATAATTGCTACAGGAAATATATGAACATAACTATCAGATGCATGAAGTTGCTGAACTCATCTACTTCCTGATGAAACTTTCAATGTGTAAATGTTTGGTAGACTAAAGGGGGGGTGCTAACATTACTCCCCTTCTTCAAATCGCGCATGCTCAAGCGAGAAATGTGGAAAGTGTTGTTGGTAGTCAAATCAGTGCTAGGATTTGATTCTTGTGCGTCAGATTCTTTTTCCTCTTCCTCTAAAGATTCAATCCAGAATAATTTCTTGCATTGATGGCCCCGGGTGAATGGTTCATAACAATTAAAACAAAGAGTCCCTTAAGGCATCTTTCCTCCATCTTAGATCTGGTCAATTTCTTTACAAATCAGGTGTGTTGTTGAGGTGAGAAATCTACGGTCTTTAATCTGCGGACATACGATAATTCCGAATGAAGGGGTTGTCCCTTGTGTTCATAAAGCCGGGACATACTCAGTGCCGTAGCCAAATCTGGAGGATTATGCAACTCCACTTCAGTTTCTATATAGTCAGCAAGACTATTGATATAATGTTCAAATTTTTTGCGACTGTAGGTATTGACCTGCAAAATGAATTGCTCAAACTTTTCCTCGTAATCTGCTACAGACCCGACCTGACACAACTTAGCCAATTCTCCCAACTTTTAACTTCTGATTGGTGGCCCAAAACGAAGGTAATATTGACGTTTGAATTCATCCCAAGACGATTGAGGCATATCTGTCTCTAGTTGAAGGAACCAGAGTTTTACATTCCCCTCCAAATGAAAAGAAGCAAGTCCAACCTTTTCTTCTTCTGCAGTTTGCTGGTGGCGGAAGAAGTGTTCGCACCTGTCAACCATTCCAAAGGGTCCTCTTGGCCACTAATACGCGGGAAATCCAACTTTGTATAGCTAGGAACTTCCTTCGATTTCTGATCCTGACCTTCCTGCCACTCCAGTTTTACCCTTCCAATCTCGATTATGACTGGTACTTTCAGTTGATTCAGAATCGGCCTTCGAATTTGCTAAATCCTTTGTGATTGCATCTAAGCGAGCATTTATTGCTTCCTATTTGGGTAAATTGGGTGCACGTTCTTCTTGGAACAAGTTCATAGTACCCGTTGTTGTTGGATTTGGTCTCCCATAACTCCCGTCTTTGATACCAAGTTGTTACAGTCCCCTGTTACAAATCTAGTTATGGGACACCCCTAAGATCAAATCAAAGTTAATATGTACTCCCTCTGTTCCAATTTATGTGAACCTATTTGACTGGGCACACGGTTTAAGAAAAAATGAAGACTTTTGAAATTTGTGGTCCTAAACAAGTCAAAAAGGGGCCAGAGTATTTGTGTGGTTATAAAAGCTTCTCATTAAGGATAGAATTGTAATTTTAAGCTAAATTGTTTCCAAATTTAGAAAGGGTCATTCTTTTTTGAATAGATCAAAAAGGATATAGGTTCACATAAACTGGAACGGAGGGAGTAGTAAATTAGGAGTGTGGGAAGAGGTTTTCTTTTTGCGACCTATGCTGCTGGTTCGTTAAGAGAGAACCCGCAATCTCTTGAGTTAAAATACCTAAAGACTGGAATAATTTCCTCCTACCTTTCACTGAATTCAAATAACTTTAAATACAAATACTGATGGATTAACCATCCACATAAAATTGGGAAATAACTTCCTAACACAACTAGAATGAGAAAGTGGCGTACTACTGATAACTGCTACTACTAATAACTGCTTCCTACTACTAAACTGCTATAGGTCATATATGAATATAACATAGGTCTCATTTGTTTACACTTAATGGAGGTCTGAATCTTAATCATTCAAATCTTAGACATTAAGTGTATTTATTTTTTAAGTATGAATCTTAATTATTCAAATATTAATGATTAATTGTCTCTATTTTTTTTAATTCACAACCACTTAAATAAGTCTGAATAGGTTTGAATGATTAAGATCTATAACAAAGACTTAATTTCATATGTTATCGTATTGTTACCGCCTCCCTTCTTGTATATATTTTCATTAATGTGGTGCTTATGCTTTCCTAAGCCGAGGGTCTATTGGAAACAACCTCTCTATCCTCACAAGGTAGGGGTAAGGTCTGCGTACAAACTACCCTCCCCGGACCCCACGGTGTGGGATATTACTGGGTATGTTGTTGTTGTTGTACTGCTACCGCCCATCATTATCACCTACTACCAAATCACTCATCAACACCTGAGTTACTCGGACATGGGTGCGGGTGTCCGACACGGGTGCAGATTTAGAGGTCTGATCCTTTGAGATGTAAATTCTAAGATTCAGGGATACAGATCCTAGTACGGATACGGGTGCGGGCAGTGTTGTGAAATACAGACGCTTCCTCGCTTAAAGCGAGAAGCGAAGCGAGACGACCCATCGAACGCTTTAGCTGAAGCATAGCAGGTATTCAAAAGCGCACGCTTCCCAATAAAAAGCGAGAAGCGACGATGCGAAGCGAAACGAAGCGTAAGAAGCAAGCGCTTCTATGTATTACAGGGCTGCCAACCTATTTAACTAAAAAAGCTGTTCTTTTTTTAAAACATTATCGACCAGCAGCAACAGAGAAAGAAAGAGGCGACCTAGGGTTCAAGTTTTCTACATTTTTCAAATTCAAGATCATCAAGTTTGGTCTAGGTTCGTGATCTCTTCGTCCTTCCTCTTCACTGTTTCAGCTTCCAAATAACAGTGAAATGCTGGCGAATTCTTTTTCCCTTCAGTTCTTCTTTCTCATTCTTCTCCTCTTTTTCTTCATTTTCTTGCACTGTTTTTTCGTTTGAAATGCTGCCCATTTTTACTGGAATGGTATACTGCCTTTCTTCTTATTTTCATATCTTTTATTCTTAGTTCTTATTGCCTTTCTTCTATGTTATGTAGTTGTTCTTTTAATGGCACCAAAAGAAAATAGGAAAGACCCGTCTTGGGCTTATTCTGCAAGAGTTAGCGAGACCAACAAGATGGCAATTAGATATCTTTTTTGTGACAAGATTTCAAATGGGGGAATCTATCGTCAAAAAGCGCATCTAATCGATGTTGATCCAAATGTCGCATCTTGTCCTAAAGTTCCATCGCATGTGAAGGAAGAATTGAAAGCATTCCTTCAAAAAAAAAAAGAGAGTTAAAGACTCAAATGATTCATGAACAAGAACTGCATAATCTTGATGATGATGATGATGAAATAGAAGAAGGTGATGGTGCTTCGTCGCTTCCATCAAAATCACAAAGCGGGGAAGGATACAAACAATGTCTTCTAGTTGTGGATCTACTGGCAAAACTAAAGGTCCTACGGATTGTTATTTCCCTAAAAAATCAGGAGATAAGGGAGAAAAAAATGGTAATCCTCAAATTGATGCCAAAGCGATTTTGAGGGATCGTGCAGTTGCAATGTTTGCGCGGTGGATGTATGATGCAGGTCTTCCTTTTAATTGTGTTAACCATACTGACACTTTTTCTGCTTTTATTGAGGCCGTAGGCCAATATGGTCTAGGAATGAAGCCTCCAACTTATCATGAAGTTAGAGGTCCATATCTAAAAAAAGAGGTGGAAGAGACTAACAAAATCGTGGGGGAGCACAAAGTAGAATGGAACAAGTTTGGTTGTTCCATAATGATGAATAAGTGGACGGCAAAAAATGGAAAAATGATCATCAATATCTTGGTGAATTCTCCTAAGGGAAGCTTGTTTCTTGAGTGCGTTGATGCAAACGACTCTTCTACTGATTCAACCAAAATGTACTCCTTGTTCAAGAGTACAATAGACTCTATTGGAGCAGAAAATATTGTTCAACTTGTCACGGACAACGCCAGTGAAAATGTTAAAGCTGTTGATTTGATGTATGTAGGGTACCCACATATTTATTGGATTCCGTGTACAGCACATTGCATTAATTTGATCTTCGGTGACATTATCAAGGAAAGACCCTTCAGTTTAGTCTTTAATAAGGCAATTAGAGTGCATTCCTATATTGTTCAAAGGCCTTTATTATTGAATATGATGAAGAGATTCACTAAATAAAGAAGCTTGGTGAAACCTGCATAGACAAGATTTGCTATCGCTTTCTTGACTTTGCATAGGATGTATGAGCGAAAATGCAATTTGAAGAAGTTTTTTCAGATGAGTACACTCACAGTGCCTATGGAAGGGAAGCTCGAGGGAGAGAATTTGCAGATATTATACTTTCTAGTTCATTCTGGAACAATGTGGTTCATGCATTGAAAATTGGTGGTCCTTTAGTTGAAGTGCTTCGTTTGGTGGATGGAGAGCAAAGGCCACCAATGGGCTACCTTTACGAAGCAATGGATAGGGCAAATAAGGCTATTCAAAACTCTTTTAGTGATCAAAGAAAATACAAAAGAGTCTTTGAGATCATAGATAAAAGGTGGAGCGGTCAGATTCATCGCCCTTTGCATGCTCTGGACTTGTTTTGAACCCGGAACTGTTTTATGACAATGAAGAGAGGATTCTAGGAGATGAAGAATTGTGGAAGGGATACATTGAATGTATTGAGAAGTTGGTACCTGATTTATCCGTGCAAGATAAAATAACAAAGCAATTTAGTACTTATAGGAATGCTGAGCAACTTTTTGGAAAAACATGGCGATTAGACAAAGAAAGATGAAGTCACCAGGTGAGCGAGTGCTTATATGTTGCTTTATAGTTAATAAGTTATTTCTTTATCAATATTATGTTTTGAATATTTGTTTACTTCTACATTTGAATGGTAGAAGCAATATGGCCATTCCACTCCAGAATTACAAAAGTTTGTCATCAAGGTTCTAAGTCTAACGTGTAGCTCATTCGGGTGTGAATGGAATTGGAGCGTGTTTGAACATGTAAGAACTAAGAAGAAAGATTTAGTATATTGAGATAATTAAATTATATCTCAATTGTCCTAATCTTACTAATTACTTATTATTTGCAGATTCATACCAAAAAGAGGAACAAACTAACCTTGAAGCGTCTCAATGATCTAGTCTTCATTAAGTACAATAGATAGTGTTGGGAAAAGCGCTCGCTTCAGCGCTTAAAGCGCGAAGCGAGACCTCGGGCGCTTCTGTGATGTGAAGCGTAGCAGGTTGAATAAAGCGAGCGCTTCTGCAAAAAAAGCGAGAAGCGTAAAAGAGACCGTAGCGACAGAAGCGAGCGCTTCTATATACTAAGGGTTGCCAACGTTAAGAATTTAAAAAGTTTATCAAGTTCAAGCCTAGGTATGTGCCCAGGTATGTGATCTCCTCCTCCTCCCAAAATAGCAGCGAAATGCTGGGCAGTTTTTTTTCCCTTCAGTTCTTTTTCTCATTCTCTTCTTTATCTTCTTTTTCTTTCACTGTTTCAGTGATAAATTGCAGCGAAATGCTTTAATCTTGTAGAAGAATAGGATGCTCATTTTGTGCTTTAATTGATGCTACTCTTTAGTTTTTACATTGATGTATGGAACATTTGCGTACAATTACATGTGTTGTCTATGTAGTATTTATTTTAATATTTTTAAAAAAAATTCCGCTTCACTTCAAAAAGCGACCGCTTCGCTTCTCGCTTTAAGCGAAAAAGGGCTTGTCACTTTTCCTCGCTTCACGCTCTTCACAACACTGACAATAGAACATTGAGGCGTCGTTACAACGCTCGCAATGTAATTGATCCAATTAGTTTGGACATCATCGATGACGCTAATGAATGGCTAACTGGAGTCCTGGAAGATCATGCAAATGAAGAAGTATTTGAGGAAACTTCTGATTTCACTTGGGGTGATGTTGCGGAGGCGCATGGAATTGAGGAGAGGATTTATGGTTTGAGGGTGAGTACTCAAAGTCAAGTTCACAGAGGAAGGGAAAAGAAGTAGCTACTTTGTCCCTATTTGATGAAGAAGAAGAAGTTGAAGAAGATGACGAGCAATATAATAATGATAATGGAATACAAGAATTTGACAATCTTGTTCACAGAGGAATGGAAAAGAAGTAGCTACTTTGTCCCTAGTTGATGAAGAAGAAGAAGTTGAAGAAGATGACGAGCAATATAATAATTAATGATAATGGAATATAAGAATTTGACAATCTTGTAGAAGAATATGATGCTCATTTTGTGCTTTAATTGATGCTACTCTTTAGTTTTTACATTGAAGTGTTGAACATTTGCTTACAGTTACATGTGTTGTCTATGCAATATTTATTTTAATATTTTTTTATAAATTCCGCTTCACTTCAAAAAAGCGATCGCTTCGCTTCTCGCTTTAAGCGAAAAGGGGCTAGTCGTTTTTCTCGCTTCACGCTCTTCACAACACTGGGTGCGAGGATCCTGCTAAAAATAATTCAAAAAAAGAATATAAAAATATCTCTAAATTATGAGAAATTTTATGGAATACTTATGTATAGCTTGTAAAGTGTGGATTTATTTTTTATTCTCAAGTTGTAGATACGTAAAGGATTACTTTCCTAGATAAGGTATGCTATTTTCTTCAAATATACCCTAGTTTTGGTTCTGATTTTAGGAAACAAATTGTATCTCGTGCGGATCCCATACCCACACTCATATTAGTGTCGTGTCTACATGGATGCGGTACCTAAACTGCCGTGTCGGAGCAGCTTAGATCACCATTATACTCAACCACCAGTATCGACCACCACCATACTTAACCACCATGATCGACCATCACCATCCTCAACCATAGCTGCCACCGCCATCATTATCAATCACCCACCATCCTAACATTATCGGATTCCACCACCCACCAACCCACCATTATCAACTAACACCACCACCATTATCCTCAACCATAGCCACTCGCCCGCCCACCTGAACTATCACCAATAGCCATCCTCACCACCATCATCAACCATAGCCGCCATCGTCCACCATTATAAACCATCACCACCCACCACTATCTTTCTCAACCGCAACTACCACTATCAATCATCACTAGCTACTATCCAGACTAGAACTACCACCATCAACCAAAACCACCACCAACCACAACCTCTAGTCGATATCCACAAGCACCACCATTAGCCATCACCACCACCCTCTCGTATTATTTAAATTTTTTAATTAATAGAATACTAAATTAATTAGTATTTTATTTGAATTTTTTATTTATTAATTTTTAAATAAAAATAAATTTTATACATTCAGATATTGAAAAAACAAATAGTCTTAATCATCTAGTATTCAGATAGTAATACACATCTTAATATTCAGATGTGTATTTAGATTTAGACGTTTTGATCTTAAATACATCTTAATATTCGTATGTGCATTCAGATTCAGATGTCTTAATCTTTAAACTAACAAATGAGGCCTAACAGATGCCTGAAGTTGCTGAACTCATCTACTTCCTGATCTTCTGAAACTTTCCATGTGTAAATGCTTGGTAGACTAAAAGGGTGCTAACAAAGTTCCTTCTACATGGATTGTCTTGGGTCGGATAGCATCTTTGAGGGCTGTCCATGTAAAGCACATGACCCTTGTAGGGAGTTTTGACTTCCATATCAGCTTCCAGGGCCAATGCTCAATCACTTCTTTAGGTGCACACAGTTTGTTGTACCCTACCTTCACTGAATATGAACCTTTACTGGAGTTGCCCCACCTTAGTCCGTTGTTGACTTGTGAGTTCATTCTGAAGCCTTCGAGTATTCTGAAGTGCTTTGAAGTGTTTTCCCTCACATGTGGTGATTTGAAGTGTTTTCCTGCATATTACTAATAGCCTTTTTTGTTCCTAATGTCAGTTTATTTTGAGGAGGACAAATGCGTTATTGTCAAACCACCTACCACCAAAGGTATGCCTTATCTTTAACTCATTAGATAATGTAACACCGTGTATTATGAAGAAGTGTTGAATGTGCTAAGAAGATTCTGACATTAGAAGAAGCACAATGACTTTATCTACTGCACTTTTTGCTACTCTATAGGATCTGTTATTTTGTGTAGACTGTTGTTTGAGGTACTAATTAAATGATAAACCACCAAGTTGTGATTTTGGCATCTAGGGCAAACTCCTTTCGTCTCCTGTATGTTTGACTGACAAAATTCGGACCAAGTAGAGTAGTAATAACTTTATTATACTCGAATTATTAAGTGACTTTTTGGAGTTTAATACAGCTTTTGACTGTGTTCTCCTCCTTACTCAAGACTTAGGGGTGCAGCAGAACAGTTAACTCAATGCTACAAAAAAGGAAAAAAACTAAATGAAAAGAATGTTATTTAGGTGTTAAAGCAACACAAGTAAAAAAGAAATCAAAAGTTTTACCTCAAAAAATCTTTATTCATTTATCCTGTTCAGAAAAAAGAATGTCTTCTCATTTATGTAGATAGTAATTATATGTTGGTAAGCATTTTGATCTTCTGAAGGTTCTGAGTGAAGTCGCTTTTTACTCTGCAGATAATCGAAGTTGTTTGTTGCAAGTTGACACCTCTCCAGTCAGATCTGTACAATCATTTTATACATTCGAAAAATGTACAATTCTTATTTGTTGTAGCTTTTTCTCATGTGGAGTATTTATATCATTTAGCTCTTCTCTAGGATAATTTAGTTTGTTTTTGTTCTACCACTACCAAGTACAGGTGAAACGAGCTATCACTGAAGAAGCAAAGCAATCAAAAATCTTAGCTTATATAACAGCTCTGAAGAAGCTTTGCAATCATCCGAAGGTGAGCTATCATTGGCTCATAGTTTCTCAAGTCTATTCATTTGTAACAACTATACTGCTTATTGTCTAAAAAAAGTATACCAGCATTGGGTCTTCTTTTAAGATACCAGCAACGCTACATGGTTTTCCATTTTTTTTGTGTGTGTGTACTTTTTTAGAGGAAGACAAACAGATTAAGAATAGCAACTGATACTTATAAAATGTACCGAAAACCATTCCTTTAATGTTGATACCTCGAAATGTACCTGAAACTATTGCTTCATGTTGATACCTTGAACATGTACCTGAAACTAATGCTTTATGACAAAAGTAGGTGTTAGAATATTTTGCACTTCCATTGCAAGATAGTGGTGAAGTTAATGGTGGTAACTTATAGGCACTTCCATAGAAGACTAATTCCTTATAATTGAAAATTATGGAAAGATAAACCTCTTGAATTGTCCTTGCTTTACCTTGTTACTTCTTTTTCTCAATCCTTATTACTTTCATAGCAGAATGTAATCCCAAATGGGAGGTAAGCAATTTCTAATCCAACATAGCGAAAACCATGATATTATCCCCTTTGAATTTGTTGAGTTGATGGTCAGTGCCTGTAGTAACTTCTATAAATATGAATATTCCTGAGAATTTAAATTTGGGAGAGCAAAACTTTAGGATAATTCTTCTTGTTGACCTTTTCTTTTTGATATCGAAGAAATTTCCTGTGGGTTTCTGGCCTGACTCCAGCAGCGCACAGGTTAGAAACTCCGGGGAGTATGGGTTTGCCAATTGACCCTCCTTCCAACTTAAACACCAGACTTTGTCTACCGCAGGGTTTGAACCTGTAACGTGCACCTAACACCGACATCACGTGTTGCTTCCTTAACACGGGACCTAAGCCCTGGGGTCCTGTCCCCCTTGTGTTAACTTTTTACTGCTTTTCCTTATTACTTTCATAACACATTAGAATGACAAAAGTTCCTACTCCAACTAAGTCAAAACCATGATATTATCCTTTTGAGTTTAGTCAGTTTTGCAAGTAACAAAACTGTTGCTTACTAATGTCAAATATTCGAAGCTGATATACGACACAATACGAAGTGGAAGTCCAGGGACATCAGGATTTGAGGACTGCATCCGCTTTTTCCCTCCAGAAATGTTTTCTGGAAGGTAAGCTGTTTTAGCCCACTGTCTCTCTGAAAATCGATTTTCAACTTTTTTCCCAAATAAAGGAGTCTTACAAATAATCTGCTAGGTGTGGCTCATGGACTGGCGGAGCTGGGTCGTGGGTTGAACTGTCAGGGAAAATGCATGTCTTAGCCCGGCTACTGGCTCAACTTCGTCAGAAAACTGATGATAGGATTGTTTTGGTTTCCAATTACACACAGGTATCGAGGAGTAACTCTATTAACAGAATCAGACGTGTGAAATACACGTTTTTCTGTTACATGTGTTAGTTTTCTTCGATTTGAATGAATGTTTAGTTTGCTCTGGCTTTAATTTCAGCTTCTGATCACAATTATGAATTAATGTTCTGAGAGGGCTTTTGGGTGGCTTAATGTACTCGCCACTAGTGTTTTCATTAATTAATGGGCCTGTTAAGATCACCGAATCATTTTTTATACTGTCTAAAAGCATTTGTATTTTTTGATGGGCTCTGTCCGGATAATTGACAGTGCTTTTGGTGTCATTACCTCAGTCTGGTATAATTTCCATATTTGGTCAATCCTAGGAATTGCACTTCCTTCTGCAGATTTGCTAACTTTGTTCTTCCCGTTCTAACTCTTGGTCGAGTGCTCTTGTGTTTTCTAAAATTGAGGTACATGCCACAATGATCTTCATCTCTTAAATACCGAATGTTTTTCTCGGTATTAATAATCTAATTTCCATAGTTGTAATAGGATCAAGTGGCTGTATTATCTATCCAGTCTCTAGCTCCTATAGTTACTCGGTTTAATTTCTGCTGGTAAAACTTTAGCATCAGTCCGACAATCAGACTATTTTGATGACTATAATATCTGTTTCATAAGATAGCAAAGGTCAACAGCCTGCTTTCAAGATTCGAACACTGCTATATATCATTATTTATTTGTTTACCTATAATCAACTTTTCTAATGTATAAGTCAGTAACTGAAATCTCACTTTACTTTTCTCTTCTTTCTTTTGCGTCTGTCCTAACTGTGTAAGTTGTGAATAATCAGACGCTGGACCTTTTCTCTCAATTATGCCGTGAAAGGAGATATCCCTTCTTAAGACTTGATGGAACTACATCAATTAGTAAAAGACAGAAGCTAGTTAATCGTTTCAATGATCCAACAAAGGTACATGGGGATGTTGTTATGCTTTAATTTTTTTATGCTTTCACAGATTTGGCATTAGCAAGACTTATTTAGTGCATATTTTAGGATGAGTTTGCATTTCTGTTGAGCAGCAAGGCTGGAGGTTGTGGTCTTAATTTGATCGGTGGGAACCGTCTGGTTTTGTTTGATCCTGATTGGAATCCAGCCAATGACAAACAGGTGAAGGCTTTCTCCCGAGAATTACCAAATGACAGCCAGAATATATTTCACATCAGGTACATAATTTCCAGATTTTCCAACTCTTCCACAGGCTGCTGCAAGAGTCTGGAGAGATGGACAAAAGAAGAGGGTCTACATCTATAGGTTTTTGAGTACTGGAACTATTGAAGAAAAGGTTTGATTGTTAGAACTTAGAACCATTTGCTTAACAAGTTCCTATTTGCTCTCCTTCTCCATTGAAGAAGCATTATATTTATTTGCAGGTGTACCAGCGTCAGATGTCAAAGGAGGGTCTTCAGAAAGTTATTCAGCAGGAACAAATAGATTCTGATATCCAGGTACTGTTTTGGAGTCTCTTATCTTTTCTTACTCTTCTGCTGAAATGTGGTACCAATACGTGATTGCAGGGAAACTTTCTCTCTGCAGAAGACCTGCGGGACCTGTTCGCATTTCATGATAGTGTGAGGTATGTTCCCGTGCGAAATTGCATTAGCTAGTGCATTAGAATTCTCCAATACCTGCATGACTCAAGTAATTTTATCAGTTGTTACAGTGAAGTTGGACCTTCCATAGCGTGGAAGTGAAGAGGAACCCCCCCCCCCCCCTTCTGCTTTAGCATCTGAGACATACCAAAAGGCGTATGTAATGGGATTCAAAGGTAGATCGCGGATTTAAAGGCAGTGTACAACTCTTTGCATGTGTGTGTGTGTGTATACACATCATGATTATTTAGTTTGAGTTTGCGGCAGTATGTGCAACTACTGCTTATATGCAGGATATGTCTCTGAGAATTACGCACTGTCACCCGATTTCCTGTTCTGCATCTTCAAATGAGGAAAAAGCATCTGCACACATTGTATGGTTAAGAATTCATCTTTTTCTCTGATCTGTTTCCTTTGGATAAGAAGAAAGATTGTCCACTATATCGGCGGGGTTAACTTTATAGGAGAAATTACTTATGGCAGCTCAACATTGTGTAGTTCTCATGTACCTTCATGTTGGAGCGATGATTATTTAAGTAGATTCAGACATTTTATTATGCCCAAGTGTAATCTCATCTTTACGCTCTTCTATAGCTTCATATCTCATATAACCAAAATGCATATTGTCTTTCATATTTATTTCAACTGCTGTCAATATAGGTCTGAGATTCACGAAAAAATGAGCTGCAACCGCTGCCAACCAGATGCAGTGATGCCAGATGACAACCCAATAGCTGATTTCAACACTCAGGGTCTTCAGCCCGACCAAGAGGATATTGGGGGATTTGCAGGCGTAGCTGGTTGTCTGCATACATTACGAAGCTCGGAGAAACAGGTTGGTTTATATTTCTGTAGCCCAAGTTTCAGTTCTGTAATTTGGTTCTCATGCTAACAAACATCCTGTTCCAGATTGGAGCTCCAAAGGAAGAGGATTTAGCCGGTTGGGGTCATCATTTTTCCCCAAAATCTGTGCCAGATGTAATTTTCCAGTCTGCAGCAGGAAACGAGGTAAGCAGAGAGGCCAAATGGCTATTACATTGAACTCAGACCACAACCTCCTCTCCTCCCACGCCCTGTAACAACAAACCCAGTGTATTCCCACAAGTGGGGTCTGGGGAGGGTGGGATGTACGCAACCTTACCTCTATCCTGGAAAGGCAGAGAGGCTTGTTTCCAATAGGCCCTCGGCTGAAAAAAAGAAGAGAAGGAGCACAACGACAAGTAGGAGCAACTCAAGATAATAAGAAAACTGAGTCAAAGAAAGCAATCAAACAATAGGTAGTAATAGCAAATTGAGAATAAAACGAACACAAAATATTAAGAACGCTGACGCAAAGATAGCAATCAAACAATGGGTAGCAATATCAATCTAAGAATAAAACAAAACCATACAAACACTAATGCTACTGGACCAAGAAAGAAAAAGAGACGCTCGACTAACTACTAACCTTCTATCCTAATCCTCAACCTCCACATCCTCCTATCCAGGGGTCATGTCCTCAGTAAGCTCCAACTGCGCCATGTCCTGCCTAATCACCTCTCCCCAATACTTCTTTGGCTTATCTCTACCCCTCCTCATACCCACCAAGGCCAACCTCTCACATCTCATAATTGGGGCATCTATACTTCTCCTCTTAACATGCCCGAACCACCTCAGCCTTGCCTTTCGGATCTTATCCTCCACGGGAGCGATTCCGACCTTATCTTGAATGACTTCATTCCTAATCTTATGTAACCTGGTGTGCCCACACATCCATCTCAACATCCTCACTTCAACAACTTTCAACTTCTGGACATGGGAGTTTTGACTGGCCAACACTCTGCCCCATACAACATAGACGGTCTAACCACCACTTTGTAGAACTTACCTTTGATAAGTTCTGGGTAACAAAAAAGTAAATGAAGAAATAAAAAAGGAATGAATAGAGAGTCAAACTTCTGAGTTCTATTTAATGTACTAAAAGATCTTCAAAAGTCTACTCACGTGGCATACTCCAATAAATGTTGAGATAGATTATTATGACCAATGGAGTATGGGTAGATTTAGTATTGGTTTATGGATGAATACCAAACAAAACCGTAGAAGTACCGCTTGAAATTTTTTACAAGTTGTTTAAACTTTGGAACCAAAATTAAGACGATGTACAGGGTTTAGGAGTAAAAGTAACATTTTAAATTTTAATCTGTGTGTATTAAAATCTATATTTCTGATTAAATTTTGGTTTAAAGTATAGTTTTAACTTCAAATAATGTTAAATGTCTCGCAAAACTCATCAAAATTATATGGTCTTACACTACAGATACAGTTTATTACGGTCCAATTTACAACATGAACTGCACGTTTCTAGGAATTCTACTACTACAAAATTTTGTGAATTGCATGTCTAGGAGATCCTGTAGCTTGTACTGAGTAGAATCTTTTTGGGCCTGCTTTTCCGTACTCCAAAGTTTCAAGCTAAGAAAATTGTGAAAGTTCGTTGTAGGATACTTACTAATGTTACATAATGAAGCCAAAAAGGAGACAAAGTTAACCCTTTATGTCCCTCGGGGTCTTATTTACTGTTCTATTATCTGAAATTGGAATACTCATTTTGTAAAATTTGCAGGTTTCTTTTGTTTTCTCTTGCCAAGTAGATGGGAAGCTTGTGCCTGTTGAATCAACACTAAAACCAAGACACGAGGTGGAGAATAGAGAATTGTCTCATTTCAAAGAAAAACTTTTGAAAAAGTCCAATTTTTCATCTCCACGACGAGCACCATCATTACCAACATTGTCATCAAGCAAGCAATCCAGCGAGAAGGAAAATTCAATTCAGAAACTGAATTTGATATCGCAAGCTCAAGCGCTGTCAACATCAACTCCTAATGAAATTTCTATGAGTACATTACCTGCATTTTTCAAACCTTTGCAAAAGCCAAGAAGCAAGTTAAATAGATCTTTAGAGGATACTAAAATAAACTTGAAGAACAAACTCTTTTCCGAGAATCATTTGCCCAGAAAGAGATTATCTCCCGATTACATAGATGATGATGATTTTGCCTAGATTTTGTTCCTTTGCGTTGTTTCCTTCATATGTTTCACTTTACCTGGCTACAATTTAACAATATCTGGAGCTATCAAACCAGTCCTATATGTTTCAGTTATACCGGGTTCTCAGTAATGAACCTAAGTAGCTTTTTGTAGAGGCATTTGATTGGTGAAATATTTACACTGAAGGCATGGCAAAAAATTTGATGGTATGGACCATTCTTCTGGCTTCAATTAAGGAACATTCACATTAGTTGATTCTTATGTTTTGCAGATATTTCTTATTTTCTCCCATTGTGGCATGCTGGAAGGAGACTTCTTGATATGTAGGTTTTATCTTCATATATACAATGGACAAACCAAAGTTGAACTTCTATTTGGTTTTTAATCGTATTTGTCCATTTTGATGGTTTGGCCCATTCTTCTGGCCTCAATTCAGGGAACATTGCCAATAAGGATTGGCATTAGTCAATTATTATTTTCTGCAGATATTTCTTGTTATCTCCCATTGTGGGATGTCGGAAAGAGACTTTTTGATATGCTCTCAGTAATTGATTTCACCACTTCTTGATGAGGTTTGTCCATTCGAGTCTTTCAAATAAAATAGGTGAGCATTGACAGTACATCTCTTCCCTCCCCCCCNNCAAAAGTAGATATTACATTACTGCAACGAACAAACAAATTGGGCAAAGGTGCCCATAGCATCATGTGCAATCCAACTAGAGTAAAAGTGCTCCAAAGGTACTTCTTTCAAAAAAGTAATAGAATACTTAGCTAAGTTGTGTGCTAGTAATTTTGATTTCTAGAAATATAAACAAAGTCTACATTATTAAACAAAGTTGATAGCTTGCACGTCTTCACAAGCTGCTTCTATCTCCCATGAGGTAGTGACTTTTTTTTTTTTTTTTTTTTTTTCTGGATCATATCATTAATCTATTTGCTTTTGATAAAAGCTTCACCTTGTTTCAACCATTTCTGGTTGCACTTTCAATAGCCATTCTTATAGCAAGCACTTTAGCATAGCTTTTCCCAGAAACTGAATTGCGAACCATGTGCATGAAGCAGTTTTCTAAGGCTATCCAAAGTCGCAACACAAATACTTGCTTGTCTAGTATCTACTTGTAAACCTGCATAAGTAAATAATAATACGGAACACGCCATATTTGTTCCTCCGCTATTGAAATAAGTTACATCTATCCTTTGTTTTAGTTATTTAGTATAGCTACACATGGCATCATACTTTTGGATCATTATTTGTCCTCCACCCCTTACATAATTTTGTCCCATCTTAAAAAGACACTTTGCTAGCCTTGATTGGATAAAATAGACCTGCTCCTATTTAATCAAACCCACGCGATCCATCTATTTCTCCCAAATCAAATTGAAGCCCACACAATATATTGTATTTCTCTTTAAATCTCCCTATAGCCCCACACAAATTTAAATTAATTGGAGTGATATGTTTCACATCTGATATATCTGATATTGCATAAACTTTAAAGTTTTCTCAAACTAAATTTAGATAGCTTTTCCCTGAAAAGAGCTACGGTTCTGATATTTAAATATACATATATTTATGTTCAAGCTTTCTGCATGTTAGAAATATCTAGTTTAGCTTACTTTATTTGTGAAAGTAAGACCTTCATTAAGTAATGCATCTTTCTAGAGCTTGTGCACGTGGCATTTTGAAAATTTTAGTCGCCGTTGACACAACCACAATGTACAAGGCGATGTGCACATGGGATCACATGATTGATAGAATCTTGTAGCCTCTGGGCACAAGAGTTACCCAGGTTTAGGAGTGGGTTCTCTAGCTGCCTTGTATTGACCGCCTGTGTTATGATCTTTCTTTCGTTGGGCGCAGCATTGATTTATTATTTTTTGTTAATGATAATGTATATTGTTGCAATAATAGAAAAAATAGTGTTTTATTTCATTTGAACACAATCCAGATCTCATGCATCCCAGGGCGATTTGTTACAATTATTCAACTACATCCGCCACCCCCCAAAAGAAAATTTTGTTTGTTAATCAATTAAAAATATCACTGTTTAGAGGGTTTTGAAAGTTACATTAATGATAATGAAGTGTTGTCCAGCATATTTTTCTGATTGGAAACACAATCAAAAGACAGAATATTATGTCCTTTTGTGCGTGATATTTACCAAAAGTTAAAGATGTAAAAATAGGGGGCTTGTGTTTTTTTGGAAGGATAAGGAAAAATGAGCGAGACTTGCCAATCAGGGCCAGCCGCGTGTCTAGGCCGAGGAAGTTGTTAGTACAGTTCGAGTGAGTTTAATTGAAATAGGACAAATCTTTTTTTTTTAATCCAACATGACCAGCCATGTATCTTATTTAAGATAGGACCAAGCTATTTAATGGGCATGAGGCAAATATGATCAAAAAGTATGACGTGTTATGAGACTGTGTACAAAATAGAGAATCAAAAACATAAACTATAAAGTAATATGAACAAAATAATCCGTCAAAATAGAAACCTGAAATTATTCTGAGCCCATAAGTTTCTTGTGTGTCGTTACAGAATTTAATCCTCTTACTATTGCCCAAGGTATTTGGACTAATTCCTTCAAGAATAGAACGAAAAACTATTCTATAATAGTGACAATGCAAATTACAGAACTTCGATAAACTCAAATGGCATATAAAATCACATACTGGGCACTTACATTTTGTTTTTGAAAATGATGCACAAATGCATAAAAGAGAAGGGAGAATTTTCACATTTTTGGTGGTGAAAAATGAGGCCAAGCCTTTAAATTTATAGCTAACAAGTTGGAGTTGAAAGGGTATGAAGATACTGCACGACCAAAAACTCTACCAAAGGTCGTGATGGAATCTAATCTCCAAGACTAGGAAAGCCAATCGAACAATAATATAAAAATAGCGAACAAGATATAACAGGTTTGAATTTAACATAATCAGCGGAATAAAACTCCGACAAAGCCAATACAGAGGTACATAAGTCAAACTTTCAAAACCAGGTAGTACAGAGTCATGATCTCTAAACTGAATACATAACGAGTCTCAAAAGTACAATACTGTTTGAAAGTAATACCATCACATGACGAGGTTCAAGTCATGTGACACTCACTAGTCAAAAAACCTTGAAATATATAAAATAACTAGCAACAAAATTATAATGAGATGAAGTACCATCAACTCAACAAAACAAGAGTTATCAGCTCATCACAGGAATCAATTTTTGACAAAAGAATTATCAGTTATTTATAGAGGCATATAGTAACATGTTAAAAGCAACGTGAAATCATGTAAAATGCATGACAAAGTATAAAGAATTCACTTGCATGATTAAGAATGCCCCACTTATACTTCTGAAATGATCCGAACAGTTGTTTTGCGTGGGATTTGTTTCGGGAAGGTTTTGGAGTGAAGTGAGACACAACGTCTCATTTTGGAAGCTTAAGTTGTAAGAGTTGACTAGGTTTGACTTCTGTGTAAACGACCTTAGATTCATATTTGATGGTTCCAATAGGTCCTTATTGTGATTTTGGACTTAGGCGTGTGCCCGAAATTGAATTTGGAGGTTCCTATGTTGATATGGCTCTAATTGTCAAAAGTTAGAAAGTTGAAGGTTTGGAAAGTTCACAAGTTTGACATTGGGATGACTTTGAGGCGGTCGAGTTCATATTGTTGATCCTAGACTTGGGATATATACGTTTAGTCATTTGGGACTTGTGTGCAAAGTTTGGATTCATTCCGAATTGGTTAGGCTTGAATCAAACGCTTGGTTGTAAATGTTTGAAGTTCTTGAACTTAAAGGAAAGTATTATGTATTTCTGTGTTCGATTCTTGGTTATGGGTGTTATTTTGATGTTTTTAGATTATGAGCGAGTTCGTATATAGTTTATACACTTGTTGGTGCGATTGGACAGTGTCCCCCGGGGCTCGAGTGGGTTTCAGACGACCCAGAGCATTTTGGAAAGTTGCAAATTTTTGCTAGTGTCAGTTCCTTCTTCGCGATCGCGGAGGCTGGATCGCGATCGCAGAGTGTTTTGAGCTGGGTAGGGGTATTCTTCTTTGCGTTGATAACACAGTGGTCGCTTTCTCAATGGGTGAGGGTGAATGGCCTTCACATTCACAACCTAGGCATCACATTTGGATATTAGTGAGGCCGACTGAGGAGGGTCCCATCTTTGGCTTTCACATTCGTGGGAAGGGGAACGCGTTTGCATAGGCTTGTGGTGTTTGGGCATCGCGATCATGGGGTGGGGACCACGTTCGTATAGGTTTAATTTGAAGCTGTGGATTTTTATGCTTCGCGAACGCGAGGAAGTGGCCGCGTTCACAAAGGGTACCACCGACAGAAGTATAAGTGATTTAACTTCGGAACTTAGACTCATTATTTTTTATTTTGAGCCCTAGACTTTAAGAGGGGCGATTTTTGAAAGGGATTTTCTCACAAGGCAAGAGGACCAGTGATTTCTACCTGATTTTAACATTATATCTTACTTTCCCATAGATTTTTACACATAGATTATGTGAGTTGAAAGAGAATTTTGGGGGGCTTAGCTATGGTTTTGGAGAGTGAAAATTGGAGATTTGGGGGCTGATTGGAGATCGTATTTGGATGAAGCTTGTACATATGGACTCATATTGGAATGGTTAATCGGGATTTGAGAGTTTGGTCAGGTTCCGGGATGCGGGTCTGGGTTGACTTTATGGTTGACTTTGTGTATTTGTATAAAAATTGAAACTTTATTATTTGGGGTTGTTTCTTTTAGCGTTATTTGATGTTATTGAGTTGTTTTTGGCTAGATTCGAGCCATTCGAAGGTCGATTTGCGTGGGAATGCATTTTTGAAGTATTGATTTGGCTTGATTGAGGTAAGTATCTTGCCTAAACTTGGTTAAGGCTCTGGTTGCTCGAGTTATTAGTGTTGGCTACGTGCTAAGGGTAGCATTCATGCGAGGGGTTGAGCCCATGTGCATACATCGAGTTTTATTCATGTTCGGGGTAGTATTTAGGCTATATTATGTCTTGTTTTAAATATTTATGATTCTTATTATCATGCTTTACATGTTGTACGACTGTGTGACTTCATGAATCATGTTATAGATTATGTGTAGGTTAATCTCCCGTTCAAACATGATAACTACTGTTTTGAGGCGTATCCGCCTAATCTAAGCCGTAATTGTATACTTCGCACATGCATGCACTTTAGCATGTTATTTTATCAATCCAGGAGTACTTGATTTGGTGTTCGTTGACTGTATACATGTATTCTTGTATATGCTTCTATGTTTTGGACTGGTTTGACATCACGTGAGTGGTTCGTGCGAGTTGAGTTGATTGTGGCACGTGAGTTGTCCACATGACTATTATGGCATGTGAG